ACCCTAAACCCTAAACCGAAACCGTGAACGCTTCAAATCCTCACTGGATGTCTTAAACTAATCCTTACAAGGACACTCATTGTAACCTTGATCGTAGTTCGAAGAACAACCCATAAGGTAGCCCCCAAAAGTAACCCTTGTTGAGGTAACTCTCAGAACAACCCTCATAGGGTTGATGATATAAATCCTNNAAGGACCCTAAACTATGGGAATTGTGTTATATTCCGTGTTATGGGTAATGCAGGGGTTTATATCATCAAGCATACTATAGACTGCAAGAGGGGCCATATCCCCGGCCGAACCTGGCAAAGCATTCAAAACAACCCTACCTAAACCCTAAACCCTAAACCCTAAACCCTAGGTTTAAGGGCCGTAGGAACCCCAACAAAAACTTGAGGATGGCAAAGTCGCTTGGATGCTTGTCTGCGACAACAAGCCGGCACGTGGCTCCTGGGCTCGATATTAGAGTTTCCGAGTTTTGGGTTTAGGGTTTAGGGGTTTAGGGTTTCGGGCTTAGAGTTTCCGAGTTTGGGGTTTGGGGGCAGGCATTGCAGTTCAGAGTTTCCTGCAATGGGGTACCCTAAATCCTGGAGCTCTAGACTTTGAACCCTAAAACCTAAACTTAAATCCCGCAAAACCTAAACCTCTACCTGAAACAGTCGGCACCCATGTGCAGCTACAACTGGGGGGGCCCTCAGCGTTCGGACACCTGTGTCTTTTTTTTAGCGACGTCATCGGGAAGCCGCGAACCCTAGCACCTTTCAGCCGTGATTCCCAAAGCCGAAGCCCCTAAACCCTAAACCCTAAAACCCTAAACACCAACCCCCTAGACCCCTAAGCCCTACCCCAAAAGCCCTCAACCCTAAACCCTTAATATCTAAACCCGTAAATTTCTCAGACCATCAACCCATCAACACGGCCGTCCCACAGCTAAGAACCTCACCTTAAACCCGCGGCCCCTAACATAGTTGCCGATGCGTTTAGGGTTTGGGGCTTTGTTTCTGGCTTTAGGGATTGGGCTTTATGAATAACTAGCATATCCCCGTATAGTCTCTACATAATTTAGTCTTCTATGGTATACCCGAAACCCGAACTATTTCCCAATGTCGTGTATATTTCAAGCGCTGTGAAGCCACTATAATATACCCTCAACCCCAGAGCGGTGTTGCATGCGGCGCACACCGAGTGCCGTCTCACTGTTCCTCGGACGCAAGTCCAGTTATATGTGACTCTCTTGAGGCTACCCCTAAACCCTAAACCCTAAACCCTAAACCCTAAACCCTAAACCCTAAACCCTAAACCCTACAGGTCTACATAAGCTTGACTACCTTATCCTAGTTACTACGGCCCCTACAAAAATGGGTCTCCGGCCCAACCCTCAGGCCCCAAATTCCAAGAGGCACAAACCCAAAGCCCTGAAAGCCTTCCTGAACTCCAACCTTAAACTCTTAATGTAGGGGCCTAAGTAATGACTACCATTATCTTGGGGGTTCCTTATTGTAGATATAGTATAATGGATCCCAAAACACTATTCTAATTATGAAGGTTCCTACATTGATCCCAAGATCCTAAGCCTGAGGAAAAGGATGCTGTGAAGCTGGCGGCATGTATCCTGGCGTCAGACCGCTGTAAGCTTTAGGCTAATTTAGGGTTTTGGTTTTCGGGTTTCGGATAATTTAATGAATAACTAGTTGTTGCATCCCCTTGCCGCCATGTATTTGGACTCTGCTATACATCTCAAGCATGTTGGTTGGTAGTCCCTTCATGCCTATACTGTAACATGTGCGACAATCCTGTTCTAATGGTGAAGATCGTCATATCCGGCTGTGGATCAAACCCTGAACGAAAACCCTACGATGCCACATGAAACCAAAAACATTGTTCTAGGACATTTCAGGTGGGTAGTTTCCGATGTAGGAGCCTTATAGAAGGTCTACATACTTTATGGAAGCCTTATAGAAGCCCTACATACCCTAAGCTCCCACCTGTAGTAGCCTTTAAATGGTTGAAAGGCTCTAAAGCCCTCCATCTGATTGGCGAAACCCGAAAATCAGAGAGGCTTGCTTAGGGTTCAGGGTTTAGGGTTTAGGGTTTAGGGTTTAGGGTTTAGGGTTTAGGGTTTAGGGTTCAGGGTTTAGGGTTTAGGGTTTAGGGTTTAGGGTCGTCTCCGCTTTCAGGTTTTTTAGGTGTTCAGGGCTTAGGGGTTCAGGGGTTTAGGGTTTGGCGGTGCAGGGTTTAGGGTTACACGGTGTTCAAGAGTTTTTTCACACCAGCCTCGAGCTTGCGCCCACGGTGCATTCTGCTGCTGGGGTGGCACTGCTGCTACTTCACTTTTGCCCACTTGGCTACTTTTACCTGGGAGGGCCTGATCTGGCCCAAACCAGCGGTTTGGGCCCGAAATCTCCGACTTGGGCTAGATGTGGCTGGTTTTACTCGATGGGGATGCACCAGCATCTGACTTTGCTATCGACCTGGCCGTGAAGTTCCAATCTGTTACACACACTGCGGACCGCGGCTCAAAGGCCGCCTCCCGCGGCGGCGCCAGTGCGCGTCTTCACTGCTAACCTTCGTGGTACGGTACAGGTTGACGTTGCCTACTTACATACATACATACCTCGAGTAACCCGTGGTCATGGTGCCGTCTCGAGAAGCTGACCACCGGCTCATCGCCCATGCTGCCCTAAACCCTAAACCCTAAACCCTAAACCCTAAACCCTAAGCCCTAAGCCCTGAACCCTAAAACCTAAACCAACCCAAAACCCTAAAGCCTAAACCCTAAAACCCGCCCAGCTCGGGGCTGCGCCGTGGGTGGTGCAGGACCTTGTTAGTTCTGTGTTTTCTTGCGGTTTAGGGTTTAGGGTTTAGGGTTTTGGAGTGCCCCTTGGTCGAAGTTCAGAGTTGCTGATGTTAATATAGCGGCCTGAACCATTAGACTAGGGTTTGGGGGTCTGGTATACTATAGGGTTTAGGGTTTAGGGGTTTAGGGTTTAGGGTTTAGTTACAATAAGGAACCCCCAAAACCTTATTCTAATTATTAAGGCCCCTGCACTACCACTTGGACCTCGCACATCGCCCCTGCACTGTGGGATCGCAAACCCCCGACTGGGTGCTCCAGGCTTCTGCTTTGCCATGTCCTACTGTTGATGATATAAATCCCGCATTACCTTAAGGACCCTAAACTATGGGAATTATGTTATATTCCTTACTATGGGAACTATGGTAGATTCCTTATTCTGGGAAGTATAGTATATGCCTTATTGTGGGAATTATGGTGCATCCCTTATTGTGGGTAACGCAGGATTTTTTTATCATCAGCCGTAGGGCGGCCGCGCTTGCATCCCGAGCATGCCGTGGACTTTGCGGCCGTGCGCCGGGAATGGTAATGTAGGGGCCTAAATGGGTTTAGGGGTTAGGGTTTAGGGTTTGGGATGTAGGGTTTAAAGAATTACCTGTACTATTTTTGGGGTAGGGGCCTAAATATATACCTATACTGTTTTGGGGGTTCCTTATTATAATTATAGCGTAATGGTCCCCAAAACCCTATTCTGATTATTATTATTATTCTTCTTATTAAGGCCGCTATATTACCGATGCTCTCGCCCGCCGGCGGTTCCGCGTACGCGGAATGCCGTCATTCCGCGGCCTGCTGTCATGAAGATATGGGAAGCCCTACTTGGACGATCATGGGACTTAGTAATTTAAAGGCGCCCTTAAAGGGCTCCTAAAGGTTCGATAAGGGCTCTATAAGGTTTAGGGTTTAGCGCTTACTTGGAGGATCGTGGGACTTAGTAAGTAGGGTTATAACTACCTTAATTGGGGTTATAATTACTTATGAGTAGAGTTACCTTATTTATAACCCTAGTTACTAAGTCCCATGATCCTCCAAGTAAACCCTACACCGTAAACCCTAAACCAGCGCGATGGCACTTGGCGCGCTCCGCTTGGTACCCTAGGGCCAGGCTTGGACGGCCTTACTGTACTTAAAGGACCATGGGACTTAGTAACTAGGGTTATAAGTAAGGTAGCTATACTTATAAGTAGTTATAACCCCAATTAATGTAGCTATAACCTCACTGACTAAGTCCCATGATCCTCCAAGTACTGGCGGCGGGCCGCTGACTTTGCTTTTTCAGGGTTTAGGGTAGCGCAAGACCCTAAGAGACAGCACCACGACTTGGCCCTTTCCCTTACACCAACCACAACTTCCAGGGCCACAATTAACAGCTCTCTCTAAACAAGCCTTAAATACTCTTGGGTTGACGATCCCAAAGCCCAGGTACCCGTCACAGCTCCCGGCCGATGTCGTGAAACTCCTAGAAGGACTCACGTCGAAGGTCACTGGCCCAGGGCGGCTTTCCCGAAGTTCTAGGCTTCAGGGGTTTAAGCTGTAGGTGGAAGGGGTTCAGGGTCGAGGATTTGCGGATTGGGATTTGGGGTTAAGGGTTTACGCGTCCGATATTCAGGCTGTTGGGGCTCGTATTTATAGTAAGGCGCGCTTCGAAGTGTCGTATCACGCGTTTCTGGGGGTGTCATGTCCATGTGTTTTCCTCATTTGAATGATCGGGTTTCGTTTGGAGGGCTGTCTGATTTAACCCAGAGCTCTAAACCCCAAATAAACCCTAAATGAACACTGAATTAACGCAGAGCTCTAAACCATAAATAAGCCCTAAATGAATCCTAAGCAAACCCAGAACTCTAAACCCTAAATAAGCCTTAAATGAACCCTAAACAAACCCAGAATTCTAAACCCTAAATAAACCCTAAATGAACTGTAAAGTAAACCCAGAACTCTAAACCGTAACTAAACCCTAAATAAACCCTCAATAAACCCTCAATAAACCCTAAATAGACCCTAAACCGACCCTAAACCGTCGTCGCTATTTTCAGGTCCGTGGGGTTCCATAAACAAAGCTCCAGTTTGGGGCTTAGGGGGCCTCAATAATTACCGATGCCATATTGGGGGTTCCTTATTCCACTTCAATACTATTTTGGGGTTGCTTATTATAATTATAGCATATTGTAGGATAGCGGACCCCAAAACCCTATTCTAATTATTAAGGCCCCTATGTTAGCATAAACTTGAACCTGGCACGGCAGGTGATCTCCGTCTGTCCGGGCATTCACTCCGCCTTCCACTTCGAGGCCACGGGCAAAAAGGGTTTTGAGGCTTCTTGACGGATTCGATTATTTTGTAGGGCTTAGGGTTTAGGGTTTAGGATTCTATTATTCTCTAGTGGTCTATAAGGGGGTTCCAGAAAGGTTCTATGGCTCTCTAGGGCTTTCAGAGGATTTTTAGTGGAGGGTAGATTTTAGAGGTTCTTGGTGTGGTGTTTCTTATGCTGCTTCTCTGTCTTTCTTTCTTCGTCATAGTAGTCTTGTTTTGTTGTGTTGTTCCCTTTGTCCTTGGATGCTCCTTACCCAGGAAGAAGTAGCATGTCTGGTGACTGGAAGAACCATGGTAGTTGTTTCAGTCGCAGTTTCTAATGCAGAAGCTGGGAAGGCTAAGTGCAGGGTTCATTCTTGTTGTGCTTCTTACTGCTGTTCCCACCCCTACTACTACAATGGTGCTCTTGTTTCCTAGTGCCACAATACTTCATCAGCCGCAGAAACACAATTGAAAGGATAAGCCCAAAATCCTAAAACCTAAACCCTAAACCCTAAACACCTAAACCCTAAACCCTAAACCTAAACCTTAAACCCTAAACCGATCGCACGGAACGGAGCTTTGGAAATGTGCTGCGGCACCCCTTCGACTGCGCGAGCTCTGGAGCGTTTAGTGATTAGGGTTTAGGGGCTACAAGCCGTAAACCCTAAACCCAAGCTAATATAGGGGCCTAACTACTTACCAACACCATCTTGGGGCGGTTCCTTATTATGCTTATAGTAGGATATACCCCAAAAACCTTCGTGACCCAAGGAAAAACCATGGCCCAAGGCAAAACCTTCTTGGCCAAGTCAAAATCCTTCGTGGTTTAAGGCAAAATCCTTCGTGGCTCAAGGCAAAACCTTCGTGTCCAGCCCCAGCCCAGCCCCAGCCCCAGCCCCAGCCCCAGCCCTTGCCCCAGCCCCAGCCCCAGCCCCAGCCCCAGCCCCAGCCCCAGCCCCAGCCCAACCCCCGCCCCAGCCCCAGCCCCAGCCCCAGCCCCAGCCCCAGCCCCAGCCCCAGCCTCAGCCTTAGCCCCAGCCTCAGCCCCAAGCCCAGCCCCAGCCCCAGCCGCAGCCTCAGCCCCAGCCCAACTATAACCACGAAAACGTCAATTTGGTGCGATCGGGCTGCGACCTTGTCAAAGTGTCGTAAATGTGCTGTGACTATCGCACGAAAACCGAG